GTTGTTATAAACGAAAGAACTCAAAGAAAACTAAAGAAAACAGAGCAGGGAGGAACTAATCTAATAAGTCTGGCTTCAATCTACCTCGTAAAGAAGAGACCTTTCTGATGCAGAGGACTCCCAGCAATGGGAGGAGGAATACTCCTCCTATTAATACTCTTAAACTTCTTGATTCCCACCTCATAACAGAGCTCCGGACTCGCCACAATCACAATAACCTGTCTTCCCATATGAAATCTACGACCAAAACATCAAGAAATGATCTCTTTATACATATGCAGAAGGAGGAGGAGAAGAGCGAGAGAAAACCTGTAGATGGGGCCGTAGCGGTTGGCGAGAATGGTGAAGAGCTGAGGGCCGTGTTTGGCGAACAAAGGAAGGTGGCCGACGAGAGGAAGAGGCGGAGGGCCGGGCACGCTTCGCAATGACCAGTAGGGGGTGTAGAGATAGGCGACGAAGACGGCGAGAAGAGCTATGGAGGTGGATATGTGCGGAAGGTATTCGGTGATGAAGGAGAGAAAGGAAGTTTGCATATTTGTTAGGGGTTGGCTTTGAGAAGAGAGGAGGGGAAGATGATAGTGTATTGGGTCTTCTACTGCTTTTCTGTTTTTGTGACAGGGAAGAGTGGATGCCGTTGGTGCGCTTTATCGCCCTCTTACAAGTGGAGACAACACTAAATTGTTCTCGCTCTTTTTTTTGTAAGTGTATTTATTCTCAAAGAAAATTTAATGATTTTTAAGTTTAAGTAAAGAGATATAAATTCAAGTTGATGAGGCGAGTTTAGGTTTGACTCAATGTTGACTCGACCCAAAATTATTTGGCTAGAGCTTGACATGTTTATTATATGAGTTAAAATATTTGACCTAAATCCAATTTGACTGGAACCTAAACCAAGTTAATCAATCTAAATCTACGTAACACGAACTTGAATTGTAATCAGAATAATTTTGAGTTGATCGATTTCAAGTTATTTGTGTCAATTCACACCCGATCTGAATAATAATCGGAATGATAATTTTGACCAAAATCCAACCCAAATAGTAATATGATCAACTTGAACCCAGCTAGCATATATCAAATAGGTCCAATAAACTTTTTCTCTGCTAGGGTTACTTCTCTGGAGCTTTTCCGGGGTTCTCCCCACCGTGTTGGGCCTCTCCTTTGCTAGTGCCGGCATCCTTGGTGATTTTCAAGGAAGTTCTCTCGGTCTTGTCTTGTGTTTTTTCGGGTTTTGAGTTTTCCCGTTTTGTTTTCAGTTTCCTTCTCCAGCGTTTGCCGGAATTTGTCTGAGTGGCCCTGGATTTTTAGTGGGCTTTTCTCATTCACGCTCGTTTTTGGAAGCGCTTGCTGGATCGAACTCTGTTTTTTTTTTTTTCCGGAGCTACGGACCTCTTCATTTTGTGGTTTACCCTCGCTATGGATTTCCGACCATGAAATCAACGATTTAGCCATCCCTTTTCAATTTTCTTTAGTTGGCTATTTCCCTACTAAGAGACCCTCTCTTGATTCCATCCGCAAGTTCTTCTTTAACCTAAAATTAAAAGGTGAATTTTTGGCACTTTGCTTGACCCATTGACTACTGTAGGGTATTTTGTCACATTTCCTACCTTGTGTTCAACTGCTACATGAAGCTTACGAAATGGTTGCTTACCTTGGATGTTGGTGTTGAGTCACATGTTATCCCGATTTGGGTTTCTTTTCCGCAATTGCATCCGCATCCCTATACCCCTCGTATACTTTATGGTTTGGGAGCAATATTTGGTAAGCCCTTGAAAATAGATGCTGCTACCTTTGCGGGTCCCGACCTTCCTTGGCTCGTGTTCTTGTGGAGCTTGATATTACTAAATCATATCCAAATTAACCATGTTTGGTTAGGTTTTGAGAGTTAAGGGTATGTACACTATACCCCTTGTATACTTCATGGTTTGGGAGCAATATTTGGTAAACCCTTGAAAATAGATGCTGCTACCTTTGCGGGTCCCGACCTTCCTTGGCTCGTTTTCTTGTGGAGCTTGATATTACTAAATCATATCCAAATTAACCATGTTTGGTTAGGTTTTGAGAGTTAAGGGTATGTACAGGAAGTTTTCTTTGTTGAGGCTCGTTTTTGGAAGCGGTTGCTGGATTGAACTCTATTTTGTTTCTTCCAGAGCTACGGACCTCTTTGTTTTGTGGTTTACCCTCACTATGGATTTTCGACCAGGAAATCAACGATTTAGCCATCCCTTTTCAATTTTCTTTAGTTGGTTATTTCCCTACTAAGAGACCCTCTCTTGATTCCATTTGCAAGTTCTTCTTTAACCTAAAATTAAAAGGTGAATTTTCGGCACTTTGCTTAACCCATTGACTACTGTAGGGTATTTTGTCATAGTTCCTACCTTGTGTTCAACTGCTACATGAAGCTTTCGAAAAGGTTGCCTACCCTAGATGTTGGTGTTGAGTCGCCTGTTATCCCGATTTGGGTCTCTTTTTTTGCAATTTCATCCACATCTCTATACCCCTCGTATACTTAATGGTTTCGGAGAAATATTTGGTAAACCGTTGAAAATAGATGCGGCTACCTTTGCGAGTCCCGACCTTCCTTGGCTCGTGTTTTTGTGCAGCTTGATATTACTAAATCATATCCAAACCAGGTTTGGTTAAGTTCTGAGAGTTAAGGGTATGTACAGGAAGTTTTCTTTGATGAGGCTCGTTTTTGGAACCGCTTGCTGGATCGAACTCTGTTTTGTTATTTTCCGGAGCTACGGACCTCTTCGTTTTGTGGTTTACCCTCACTATGTATTTCCGACCAGGAAATCAATGATTTAGCCATCCCTTTTCAATTTTCTTTAGTTGGTTATTTCCCTACTAAGAGACTCTCTCGTGATTCCATCCACAAGTTCTTCTTTAACCTAAAATTAAAAGGTGAATTTTCAGC